AGTGTGCAGTCATCTGCATGTTGTATTATCTTTATAATATCAGTCATTCCAGGTTTTTGAAAACCCTTTATGTTGGGATTTGATCTAATAGCAATGGCTAATACTTCTACTACAAATAGGAATAAAATAGCAGAAATAGGGCAGCCTTGTCTTATACCTCTGTGCATATCACATGTTTTAGATATCCACCCGTTATTTTTTATTCTAAATATAGGCTTATCATATAAAATGGTGATCCATTTCAAGAAATTTTCTCCAAAATTAAATTTTTTAAGAACTTTCACCATAAAATTCCATTCTACAGAGTCAAAAGCCTTTTGGAAATCGAGGAATAACAATATTGAATCCAAGTTATTTTCCTCACAGTATTCAAAAATATCAACAATTAATCTTGCATTTAAGGCTATATTGCGTCCTTTTATATATGCTGATTGATTTACATGTATTGCATTATTCAGTATTTTTTGTAGTTTGTTAGCTAAGATAAAGGCTATTATTTTATGATCAGTATTTAGTAGACTAATAGGTCTATAATTTGTCAGATTCTTAGAGTCACCTTTTTTAAATAAAAGAGTTATTAAAGATAACCTTTGTGTATATGCCATTTGGTTTTTTACAAAAATCTCCTTGAGAGTCAGATAATAGAAATCTTTAATATTTTCCCAGAATGTTTGATAAAATTCACAAGGTAGTCCATCAAGTCCTGGGGATTTATTTTTCTTCATCTTAAACACTGCTTCTTTACAATCGGATATTGAAGGAAATTCATCTAATTCTATTCTTTCCTTATCATTTATAGTGTATTCTAATTGTAAATCATTGAGATATTCCTCTATCTTATTATCAGTTACATTTTCTGAAGTGTATAATTTTTCAAAAAAATTACATGTTGATTGCAATATTTTATCTTCATCAAAAACAGTACCGTGTTCAGTATTTAAAGATTTTATTATATTTGATATCTGTCTTTTCTTTTCTAAGGTTAAGAAATATGAAGTGTTTTTCTCTCCATTTTCAATCCAGTTTGCCCTTGATCTAACTTGAGCACCTTTTGCTTTTTTTTGTTAATCAATTCTGTTAACTCGTTTTCTAATTTTCTTTTTCAATTCATATCAATTTTTTCATAGGGCAGGTCTTCTATTTTATTTCATTCTTGTTGAATAAAATTTATTTCACTTATGTAATATTTGGATAGATTCTTGGAGAAGTTTATACAGAAGTCCTTTACATTTCTTTTTAAGTCTTCCCAAGATGTTGTTGGGTTTTCTCTATCGAACTTAAAATCATTGAGAAAAGTTTTCATATCACTGATGAAAGTTTCATTTTCAATTAAAGATGTGTTAAATTTCCAGTATCCAGGACCTCTAAGGTTTTCATTTACTAACATAGAGAAGATTATACATTTATGATCAGACATTCTTGTTCCATTTGAATGTGAACCAGGGATGCTTTGGAGTCTTATAGTTTTACATTGATAACAAAAAGTATTTGAGAGTAAAATATAGTCAATTCTACTTGTTGGAGAATTTTCTCCATTACACCATGTATATCCTTGTTTATCACTTTTCATAGTTTTCCATAAATCGTGTAAGTCTAACTTATTCAAAAGTTGTTTTAAAGAAATAGAACTTTTATCATTATTGTTGTCTGATATACAATTCAAATCGCCACATATCAATATATTTTCAAAACTTTCTGTGTATTTACTTATCCAGACTTTAGTGCGTTTAAAAAAATCAGATCTATTATTAATATCATTCGGTGCATAAATATTGACAAGCGTCATAATTTTTTCATCATAATCTATATTCACAAGAAGTTTTCTTCCATCGTTTGATCTATGGGTACTAATTATTTTGATAGGTAAATCTTTTTTCAATAGAATTGAAACACCCCTGCTATATTGAGAATCTGAGTAGCTGTGAATAGATACACCTTGCCAGCGAGCATTATATTTTAAAACATTCTTTTCTATATAATGAGTTTCTTGAATAAAGATGATATCAAACATACTATCATTTATCCAAGTATAAAACTTTACTCGTTTTTCTGCAGTGTTTAAACCTCTGCAGTTAACTGAAATTATATTTAACTTATTCATTGTCTAGTTTTTACCATCTCACTGTATTTCTAGCTATGACCTTTTCCTTTGTTGTTTCTCCCCGGTCTGTTGCTGTTACTGGATCCTAATCTGGAGCTCCATCGTTTTAATTTAGCGGCCATACCGTCGAGCAGGCGCCCGAGTCTATTTTGGCCCGGCCAATGCTGCATAATAGTGTGTGATGTTCCGGTAAAGTTCAGCCCACTACCCCAATAGTCGTCCCATGTTGATTCCACCAGAATGTCAGTTTTTCGTACTTTTTTTTAAAGTATCCCTAAATTGGGAGCACTGTTCGAGTTTGGCCTCCAGAATTTCGTTCATGACTGAATCTTTAGATGAAAGCCATGCATCTGATTCAAGAACTTGGCCTCCAATACGCTTGGCTTCTAATGCAGTTTCCACTTTACACACGGCCTCTGCTCGGCTAAGGTCTCCCGATCGTAAAGACTTTATGTGCTGGTAGGCATGCTCCGCTGATCGGTACGATTGCTGGAAAACCTTGATTTCGGTAGGAAAGAAGTTGGACAAAGGGTTTTCCTCCCAAGAAAAGCACACTATATCGTTTTGATTTGCAATATATGATTTACACTGAATCGATCCCGGAAAATGACCAGGCTGTTTGCAGATCCTACAGCACTGCTCGAATTCACAATTGCTCCGAAAGTGGTCGTCCGCCCAGCAATTGGTGCATTTTTTCCTTTTTTCCCGGACAGGCTGACCTTTATGGGAAATGGTACAGCGTAGACCTGCACATGTGGTAGAGCGTGGTAGGAACTTTCCATTATCCAGTGGCGACATATATGCAAAACGATTTCCGTTTAGAATTTCGGTCATTCTGTGAGTTTTGGGATTTCTAATTCTTTCATATTTAAGGTCGCTGGTTAACTTGGCACCAAGGTTCTCGAGCATATTGATAATACAGCTATCTTCTACAGAGAGGGGAACTCCCTTCACCAGGACACGTACGACATTATCATCCGGAGATTCCGTCCCCGCGGAGTATGGATTTGTCTCAAACACCTGGACAGTTCTGCTTCCGAGTGTAAATCCACCATGTACTAGTGTAGCTCTACTATCCGTGGATTTGATGTATATCCGCCACAAATCTCTATCCCTCTGTACGCACATCACATCAGAAACTACGGTGCCTGCAGCCTCTGCTATATCATAGTCGGAGAAAAATTTATCCTTACTTGTCTGAATGTCCCTATTTCTTAAATATACAGGCTTTATGGTCTGAATCCCTTCCATGTTTGTTGTTTACAAAACCGTTAATCACTAACCACGCAAAACAGGTTGGTCAGGTAGTTCAAAAGATCGTGAACACCTACTCACAGGTAACACAGGTAGATAAGTTTAAACACAAAGAATAAAGCAACACAAAGAAAATAAATCCAAAAAACCTAGAAAAAGTTCGGGAAACGTATATCCAGAGTCTATACAACATATACACATAGTACAAACACACAAAAAAGAATCTTTGCCGCAAAGGCTCAGAAAAAGGTCAAAAAAGACGGAGCTATCGAAAGCACGTCCGTACTATAGCCCGTCACGTGACACTCCCCTTTTATTGACGTTTAAATTGTTACAAAAACGGGGGCCAAACTATAATAGAAACCCTATATAGTTCAAATTTACGATAATTACTTTGTGAGTGACATCTGAATATATAGTTTACAGACATCACCATATACCTAGTGTATTACTACAGGTTAACTTAAAACTCTTGTGTTTACTGACTACTGCATCATAAACAAAATAGCTTAACCTGGTTAATTATTCCCAGTACTTTCAGTACATATTATGTACTTTGTTATTTTTTTTTTAAGTCTCTCGCATCTAGATCTCATAAATGCAGCATCCCATAGGAATTTGTAAACGTCCCTTAATGTTTTAAAAAATCATCATTAATAGAAGTTTGGTTGACGTCAGAGGCCAAGGATTCGATTTCTTTAATATGTAATCGGTTAATTGTGTTTGATATTTAATTTTGGTTGCTCAATGCCTACATGCTGGATGTCAACATTGATTAAATCCCATGCATTTGGGACATGGCTAACTCTGGGTCCTCTTATAAACTGTCTAGGCACTGTTCGCAATGAGCTCACGAAATGATACCCCCGCATTCCATAGGATTATAATGGCATGTCGATGTTTTGATTTGGAAAACCCAAAATGTTGTCGGATCAAAAAGTAAAATGTGTGAATGGCAATATGTAATAAAGATTCCGTGAGAGTCTCATTAAATTTCATGCAGTGATATGAGAGGAGGATTTACGGATAAGAGATGGGTACTCCAAAGCGTAACAGATGGACGGACGCACAGACGGACGGACATCCAGATACTATATACCCTTCGCTTTTCAAGCGGGGGATTCAACTTTAAAAGAATTATATGTCGGGTTAGGCCACTTTTTAAGTTGACATAATATATTTCCGCAGTCAAATATTAGAAACTGAATAAGAGATTGAATTTTGCATGCTGGTGAAGTAATTAACCAGATATATTTTTTATGTAATTTTAAAAACATAAATTATTTGGTTAGCTCGCTATTGTACATACATATAACGTATAAAAAGTTATAATTAACAAATTATTTTTTCTCCCTTGTAAGAGTATTTCTGAAAATGAATGAAAGCACAGAACAAGCTGTATGAAATCAAGCACAGAAGATAGCCACTGAGAATTAAACAGAATATATTAATTAATTTTTTTTCCATTATAACCGTTTGATTTTTAAGAGTCGATACTTCGTTAAATAATTTATTAAGAGTCCAAAAACTTTGTGTTTTCTACACGATTATATATTAGCACTACGGTATATAGAGTCACTCAAAATCTGCTATTATTTTACTCAGTTGAACCATATTCAAAATCCTGCATCCGCGCCTTTACAGAGGATATTTGAATCACGTGATTTCTGCATGTGTCATGATTTGTCGGCCTAAAATTTTGCAAAACAGGTTAGTTTGCTTACACTTCCTCTTCTAAAACATTTTTTCCCTTTTATTTTTGATGATTATCAAGTATTTGGTTGAAATAACAGTTTAAATAACGACAGATTCTACTTTCGATCTGCCACAGAAAGAATGCATATAAATGATAAAAAAGATAGGGGCCTACCCTAGCTGTTATTGTAAATTTGCAGATTAAAACAATTAATAGAAATGAGTGTTGAATTTTTAACATAGATTAATGCTATTTCGATTCAGTACATCATGTCGAGTATCTTCCCAAACGCCAAGGGAACTGGAAGTTTATGTAAATATTAACTTGTTGCTTGGTTACATAAATCTACCTGATCTGAACGCTTGAAATCGGCAGCTTGTAATTCATGGACTGGAGGTGTGGAGTGGAGTTGTGGAGTGGAGTTTGGAGTCAAATTTTGGAGTCTAATTTTATTTTCTAATGAAATGAAAAAAAAAAAACTTAAGATGATTAAGATATTAAAGAAGTATAGATTTTTTTGTCTATGCTTGGTATACTTATTGGCCATTTGATGTCCTGTAACTCAATTCATTGGCGATTCATATTATGGCCTTTTTGAAATTTTCAGTTTCTGACATTACTGCAATGTATATATATTTGAAACAATGATAATTTTAAAGTAGAAGTGAATATACAGACATGATACTGAGCAAGGTTTAAAAATATAACTGCTTTTGGTCATCCTTACAATATTTTGAGGGATTATTATAGGGATTATAGGAATATTTTAGGGATTTTTCAGGGATATTAGGGATCCTTACAATATTTGAGCGTCCGTCTCGAGAGATTGGCTCCATTTTTAACAAATGATTAGCCTCTGAGTTTAATCAGGTCAGCCTTATTTGATTCCGTTTACAAAAAGTTATAAAATCCAATCATATTTTACCGTTTAAATTTAAGTCATTCAGTGCGGATTTCATTCGGTTTGGGGCCATATTGGGCAATCAAAGCATTACATATTAATATATAGAAAAATATGATACATGTATATAGGAAAAATCTTTAAAAATATTTTTCTCAAGAACAGCAAACCCATGGCATAATTTGTATTATTTATATGGAAGCATCCTCAGGTAGTTTAGCTTCAAGATTGTTAAAATCAGAATTCTTTGGGGTAGGGTGGGGACACAATGTGGGATCATTTTTTACATAGGAATATATACTGAAATATCTTTAATAGAATAAAATTTTCAGTATCCATGATAAGTAATTTTTTACATGAATCTAATGGAAATATCTTAAGGTGGTTTAGATTCAGGTTTGTTCAAACTATGACCCCCGGGGTAAGGGTGTGGCCACAATGAGGGATCAAAGTTTTGCATAAGAATATACAGGAAAAAAATCTTCTCCAGCACAGAAAAGTTTTGTTTAGCCAAATTGACATGTAAGCATCTGCAAGTATATTGAAGATTTTAATTTATTCAAATAATGTCCCAGGGGGTTTGGGTAGCAAGGGGTCACAATGGGAAATTCAGTTATATGTTGGAAAAGTCTTTGACAATCTTCTTTTCAAGGATGACAAAATTATACATGTTTGCGTTATTGCTATAGTCACATTCTTATGTAGTAGAAAATTCAAATCCCCCTCCACCAACAAGTAAATTTTTCTGAGCTGATTTGTGTTTTTTACCTAGCCCATGTGCTCAGGTGAACGATGTGGCACATGGACCTCCTATTATTATTATATATATAAATTATGGGCCTCTTGTATTTAAACATTTCAATACTGAACAAAGAAATACGCACGCTAACTCTCGATTCCCACCTACATTTTGGAACCATTTAATTTGATATAAATAGCAATTTGGCCATAAAACCTTTGTTTAATACAAAGAATAGTTCAATGGTAATTGATGAATTGTCTTAAGAGCCAGTCCGCGAGAAAACCATGCAAAATTCAAAAAATCGTCCAAATGGAAGGTTGCAACTTTGGAATTTTAAGTGGCTTAAAATTTTCTACATAAAGGTAGAAGTCAGAATATCCACAAAAAAATGTCGAACCCTGCATCTATTTTTAGCGACAGCTCATTTGCATATTTGTCGAAAATCACACAAAATTTAATGGAAAATGTATACAAATTGATCAAGTCAAAAAGTTACCTTTTATCATCAGTTTATTTTCAAATTTTGTTTTATTTTCATAGCCATGGTCTAATTAACACAATTACTGGGGAAAAACTTAATTCAAATGAATATTTTATTTTTTACCTATCTATTTATAGATCCTAAATAAATGAGTATGATTTTTTAGCCATTTTTAGATGCTCGTTTCTCACAAGACCAAGGTTGAAATTAAATTAAATTAATTGTTACTTTAAGAATAATCTAACCTCTACTCTCTATTAAAATATTGAGCTTGGGAAATAATATCTACATGTTGTAAATTAACTTTGAAATACCATATTTTGCTACAATTTCACATATTTTAAATAACAGTCTTTTACCATATTTTTGGATTATTTCTATGATATTTAAATGAAAAAGAGAAGATTCCTAATCTAATTATTTTTTAGAAGAGGAATAACTGATTTGGATACTTCTTTTTACTTTCTTTTGCTTATTTTAGCCCCTTATTACCAATTTGCTGGAGTTAAATTGTTATCTCCCCTTGTTGGAACTCTTTTGTATTATTGGGTAAAAAGTGACAGGTATGTCAATATGGAAAGAAGAAAGTCATGTATGATCATTTTTTCTTCACCTAGGGAGTTGTTGTGGAGCATTATTGCACTATGAAAGAGGGAAAACTTATTTTTAAGATATTTGAATGTAAGAAAGAAACAACAACTTAGCTTGAATAAACAAATAACAGGCCCATAGGAAGCAATTTCAGAGTGGGGGAGGGGGGACAACCTACATTATCAACTACCAAGAATTCCATAGAAAGTAAAAAAAAATAAAAGGTCATCAGGTGTTTTTTTTTATTTGGGGCATATACATGTACATGTACATAATGTAGTAGCTATGTTTTCTATAGGGTTCTGTCCTCGGGGAACCTACATGTCTTTCATGGTAATTAACAGCTACAAAATTTTTCCTAACAAGTACACTTGAATAGGAAATTAAATCAATAACATATTTTTTATCAAAATATACATTTATTCACTCAAACCATTTCAGGTGTATGAGGACAATGAAGAATATTTACAACATATAAATTCAGGTCAGAGGACAAGTATATGATACCGGGATACATAATCAGAATATGAAAAGGAAAAGAAAAACACATATGAAATAAGCGAGGGGAAAAATCATGGAGGAATGACTAACTAAAATCATATATTTTCAATATAAAGGCACATAGTTTTCTTAGTGTCTTAGCAACTTGTTTTGTCATCAGTTGAGAAAATATAAGAATACAAACAGGTATTTGATTGCATACTCTCAACAAATTCAAAAATAATTGGTAATGTCAACCTACATGTAAATTGCTTACGTTTCATAAATTTAGTGTGTTTTTGAGTTAACCAAACACCGTCATTCCTTGGCATATTTTTAATTTTACATTACATACTTTAAACTACTGTGTTACGTAACATTCATATATTGATAAAGTCAGATTTCCCATTAAAAATTATCAGCTCAAAAGGAGATGCCACCGATTTAGGTACCCCACCGATATAGGACCCTCCACGATAAATATTGGCAAAATTATTCGGGGGAGGGTACTATCCCCCCCCCCCCCAACCAAAGAAAACATGAGTCGTTACTGCAGCCAAAACTTTGCTAGTATGCAGTACAAAGTGGTAAAAATTTAAAACCGGCTATTAACATGATAAAAGACTGGATTCATATTTCTTCAAATTGGGGGGGGGGGGGGGGGGGCTATCAAATTTTGTCAAAATTATAATCAGAACATTATTAATAAAATTGTATAAGGCTTTGTAAATTAATATTTGATACTTTTTTTCTGAATAACCATGATGGTATTATTAATACATGTACCATTGCATACAGAGATAAATTGTTTTTTTTAAATGTTATACGTAGCCACTGAAAACAGTTGGGGGAGGGGGCGTATCAGTCGATCATGGTCAGGATATTAAATATACGAGTGTATCTAGTACCCAATCATTTAACCCCATCCACCTCCCCACAATTTACATACTAATATTGAAATGGATAAAATAATTAAAAATGATAACTAGTAGGGTTCTGGAGGGGTGTTGCTAAAACGAGGAACGGAAAACGTATTATTTTTTTTTATTTTAGATTAAATCACCTTAAATACACAAATTTATAAACAATATACATGTATATTTTATAAATTCAATCCCCCATTATTTAAATCAAGTTGATTTATTCATGTTCATAAAATCTTTTATTCACGAAAATCGCAGTCATAGCAGTGACGTAGAAACGATTTTGAAAGGGTCCGGGGGGGGGGGGGGTGTTAAAATTAAACTTACCTGAAAAGAATTTCCCAAGCGAAAAAAGAAGACAATTGTTTGATTCGGGAGGTGGGATAAGAGTAAACTCCAGCATCTTTCATTTTCTTAAACTTTTTTATGGAGTTTTTTGTATAATATTAACATCTCCTGTCAGTATTTTTATAAGATTGTACCAATTTAAAATTGGCAGAAAGCAAACAACTAGCTGCAGAACTGTAGCTCTCTGAAAAAATATATAATAATAGACCGGAGAGCTACAGTGCCACCCATTGAAAAAAACTGTATATATTTATTGCGCACAAAAAAGTGCGCTGTTTCTCGATTTATTTCTCCGTGTTGATGAGCAAGCAAGTTGATGAAACAAGAAAATCAGCAGTTTCGTTTAAAGTCATCATTTCGAAAGTTCTATGGTCGATACAATGACCTTGTCAGCAAATACAATTTATCACAGCTGAGTCAAATGCTGACTGACTTTTTTCATACCAATAGTTAGTCCATTATTTATACACTGAATTGACGACGGATTTTTTCCGTTATTTCCTGATCGTGACAAGGAACAAAAGGCGGGTGTGACTGGTCGGCAGGGGATGCTCACTCCTGCATGGCACCTGATCCCATCTCTGATGTTTCGGGGGTCCGTGTTTGCTCTGCTCTTATTTTGTATTGTTTTATGGACTTTGAGATTGAATACTGTTCGTTATCTCCATATCCTTCTTAAAACTGTCATCTCAAAATTTTACCAACCGTGTGTTCCTAACATATTCTTTCACCGTTTCCACAAAAACATTCCTTATAATTGTTTCTAAAAGCCCTCCTGGACCTGGAATTGAGATCATCTAAAATTTCGCCTATTTATACTGCCATTTTGGTTTGCAAGATAATTCGGTCCAACGCGCGTCGTACAGATGTAAACCACGCCGTTAATTGATAAAGGAGTAAGGTCTTTATTGGAATCTAGCTTTTTTGCAATTGAGGTAAGAATTTAGCAGAATTAATCCAGAACCGAGCGCATTTTTTTGTATATATACATTTTTAGCTCACCTGAGCCAAAGGCTCAAGTGAGCTTTTCTGATCAAAATTTGTCCGTTGTCTGTCCTTGTCGTTGTAGTCGTCGTTGTCGTTGTCGTTGTTGTAAACTTTTCACATTTTCATCTTCTTCTCAAGAACCACTGGGCCAATTTCAACCAAACTTGCTACAAAGTATCCTTGGGTAAAGGGAATTCAAGTTTGTTCAAATGAAGGGCCACGCCCTTTTCCAAGGGGAGATAATTATGAATTAGAGAAAAATTATTGGCATTTTTAAAAAATCTTCTTCTCAAGAACCACTGGACCAGGAAAGATGAAACTCACGTGGAATCATCCTCAGGTAGTGTAGATTCAAATTTTTTTTTTCATTCATGACCCCTGGGGGTAGAGTGGGGCCAAAATGGCCGATCAAAATTTTACATAGGAATATATAGGAAAAATCTTTAAAAATCTTCTTCTCAAGAACCACTGGGCCAGGAAAGATGAAACTCATGTGGAATCATCCTCAGGTAGTGTAGATTCAAATTTGTTCAAATCATGACCCCTGGGGGTAGAGTGGGGCCAAAATGGCCGATCAAAATTTTACATAGGAATATATAGGAAAAATCTTTAAAAATCTTCTTCTCAAGAACCACTGGGCCAGGAAAGATGAAACTCATGTGGAATCATCCTCAGGTAGTGTAGATTCAAATTTGTTTAAATCATGACCCCTGGGGGAAGGGTGGGGCCAAAATGGCCGATCAAAGTTTTGCATAGGAATATATAGGAAAAATCTTTAAAAATCTTCTCCTCTAGAACCACTGGGCCAGGAAAGATGAAACTCATGTGGAATTATCTTCAGATAGTGTAGATTCAAGTTTGTTCAAATCATGACCCCCGGGGGTAGGGTGGGGCCAATATGGTCAATCAAAGTTTTGCAAAGGAAGATATAGGAAAAATCTTTAAAAATCTTCTTCTCAAGAACCACTGGGCCAGGAAAGATGAAACTCATGTGGAATCATCTTCAGGTAGTGTAGATTCAAGTTTTTTCAAATCATGACCCCCGGGAGTAGGGTGGGGCCAAATGGCCGATAAAAGTTTTGAATGGCAATATATAGGGAATTCTTTTAAAATCTTCTTTTCAAGTACTTTAAAGCCATGCTTAGTGATATTTATAGGGAATCATCCTCAGGTATTGTAGATTCTAGTTTGTTCAAATCATGACCCCCTGGGGGTCAAAATTCAAGCCACCTCCCCCCCCCCCCCACCCGCCCTCAGTTAACTTTCAGTTCTGATCTGATATGTGCTTTTTTCTAGCCAATTGCTCAGGTGAGCGATGTGGCCCCTGGGCCTCTTGTTTCAATGAGTGGTACTGTAGCTCTCCGGTCTATCAATATATATTTTTTCGGAGAGCCACAGTTCTGCAGCTAGCAAACAGCTTACTGAAGGCTCAAATTTTATATGTTCAAATCTCAAAATTTATATGAATGATACTGAGTCCGTTTGAATTTAAATACTTGTAATTCCCCTTTTATTAATTAAAAAGAAACTAACTTACAAAATGTAAGGAACATATATATTCATATGATTGTTGAAAAATTGCAAGTAAGCCAATACAATTTATTATGCTTTTTTTCATTTCTAAACAATTGGCAAAATGCTAATCCTCATATTGGGGGTAATTTCTGACAATTTAGTTTTATTTAATTTTTAATTTTAATATTTTTCAATCTTAATTATTATTTCAAAGAAAATTGTTACATGATTCAACATCGAACAACAATTGTTTATAATTTAAAGTACTATGTTTGACTTTGTAACCCATTTGAGTTTGAGCAATTTTTTCGAAAATTGGTAATTTGTATATCCCCATATCTCAATTATTTATTATTTCCCAAGCTCAATATTTTGCAAAGATAATGTTTAGAGTTATATTTGTACAATAAAATCAAAAAAATTAATTTCAAAGATTGGTCTTGGAAGATTTTGGGCATTAAATTTGTAATACTTTTGGCAATTCTTGAAAATTGGCATTATGCCAATTTTCAAGAGTTGTCTGCCCTTTGATATATTGCATATTTGATTATGATAAATGTCAATTTTGAAAGAACATAGACTTATGTTACTTAAAAATACCTGAATGGAAATGCAAGTTTAATTTTGAGTAAAATAAATCAAATGTGAATTTTACCATTTTTCTTGAATTTTTTAAGTGCATTTGCACTTAAATGTGCAAAAAGGAGGTGGCGCTGCCTACGGCTGCCATGTTGAATGATGGGAATTTTTTGGTCATTTTTAATAACATATTATAAAGTCTAACTACCCACCAAATTTCATTCAGATATGACAACCTTCGATTTGGACAGTTCTGCATGGTTTTCTCGCGGACCGACTCTTAATACCAGTGCTAAACAGTATATTATCCATAATTCCAACTCTTGATAAAAGGGGGGTAGACGACATTTTCCATTGAAATCGGAGTTTTCAAGCATCACCATATTTTGAAATAGTCTTGGATATGATAAGATGTTCCTTATATCTTTTCTTATGTTTAAGGCAAATAAGTAAAACATAAATATTTCAATGAAATATAATGTTTCAGTTGTAAATCGCTTTGAAATTGATGGAAAATAAGCATTTTTATCGTTTTTTGTCAATAAACATATGTTCCTCCAGTGTCACATAAAAACCTTTGGTATATGAATTTGTGAAATAACATTCCATATTACCTGTAAAAAGGAATTTTTGTGACAGGGGGGGGGGGATGTTTTAAAAATATTTTCCCTTTCCCGTTGATTTCTATAGTGAAAAACACAAGTTTTACCCAAATTTTAAAGTTATCTCTCTTTGTTTTCCCGAATAAGTAATGTTTTATGAAAATCCATATATTTATCTATAAAAAATATAAAAAAAAATTCTTCGAATATGTTAACTTTTGAAAATTGACTTGGAGGTAGGCGGGAGAACAATACTATCGTTCGCACTTCTTTTTGCTTTTATCTAGCCAGTTGCTCGGGTGGGTGATATGGCCCCTGTGTCTCTTGTTAATCGTCAATTTCAAACGTTTGTAACTATCGAGATACAGATGAGCGCTTTTTGTGGTTTTCTAATAATACACAATATATCATATGTAGTGTAAGAATACATGTTAAACACGTCATAAATTGAGCACTGTAATCAGTACCTGTTAATTAAGTGTATTGATTACAGTGCTAATTAATGGATGGGGAAATATTTCAAAAAACTTTATTATTATTATTTATTTTCGATGCACAAAACAAATCTGGTTAAAGTCGGTCATATATTTGTTTTGGACCAGGAAGAGGTTGTTTTTTGCTTCTGCACATGTAAAGAATATATATTAACCTAAAAAAGAATATTTAACAAGTTGACTCCTATGTTTGATTAATTCATGAATTACCTTTACACATTTGACTGTTTAGTCTTAGAAAATCAAAAACTGAGTCTAAGAAAATCAATTTTTTTTTACGTTTTTGAGTTATCATAGCAGGTGACCCACGTATGGTAACAAACATTAGGGTGAACGAGTCCACTACTGGGCACGGACGACCATATTTGCTTTTATCAAACATAGGGTCGTACAAGTTTGTACTAGTAACCAAGAATCAGTAAGCCAAGCATGTAAATATGATAACCTCTGAATAACGTCTAGCAGTAACAATATATTGAATATTCTCTTTTTCAGGTCATAAACATCAAAATAATGGCGGCTGCACAAGGCCAAGATGTGCTACGTTGCAATTTATGTCCAGAACCAGTAGAATTTTACTGCAATCCGTGCTGTATACAAATGTGTAGCAGCTGTGTTTTAAGGCACATGATGGATAAATCGAAGAATCATGAAGTTGTTGCATTTGAGAGCAGAAAAATCAAAACTGTGTATCCAGAATGTCAGTCTCACAGAATTAAATGCGAGACTTATTGTCGTGATTGTAAGGCAGCCGTGTGTATCAAATGCCTCATCGGGTCACACAAAGGCCATGATGCCACGGAAATAGATGAAATAGTTGAAATGCGACGAAAAAGTATTGAATCTGATACAAAGGAATTGGAAGAAAATGCCTTGCTAAAAATTACGCTAATGAAAGAAATTGTTTCGTCAGACACAGTTATGATTGATCATGTTATATCTGAGGTGACCAAGAGAGAAAGACAAATTAAGGAAGCAGTTCACAATGAGGCCGAGAAAATGAGGAAAGAGGTTATTCTTCGTAAGGAACGCAATAAAGCTGTCATTTCAGAAAACCAGTCCAAAGTTTCTGATTTGGAAACCAAACTAAAGAAAGCAATAGAAAAGAATAGACAGATTATGCAGACCCGACAGGTACAGGATATATTGAACTACGAGTGTGATATTGAGAATTTCAAAACAGACTTAAATCTACAACATTGTGTTCATCCACATTTTGTATGCAATGAAATTGAAAACGAACAAATAGTTCGATTGCTAGGTAATTTATCCTATGGCGATGTCAAAACAGGCAAACAAAATTTACAATTAAAAGAAAGTTCGGAAATATTGTATTCATTTACAATTCAGGGTTCTAACAAATCTCTTTGGAGAATATTGTGTGTAGAAAATCATAAACTATGGATAAGCGGCGAGAAAAACTCCATCAAGCAAATAGACAGGAAGGGGAAAGCAATACAAGTCATAAGCACTGTGAAAAACCCTGTAGCTTTCTCATTTAACTGGAACACTCTAATATTTGCATTAAATGATGATTCCAAAGTCTATATCGTCAAAGACAATAAAGAAGAGAAATATCTGAATTGTGATGGTTGGTTTCCGAAAGGTCTGTGTCATCTGCAGAACGGAAATCTGTTAGTGAGCATGCGCTCCTACGATGAGAAACAAAGCAGAATAGTAAGATACTCAGGTACGACAGAGATACAGAAGATTCAGTTCGGCAACCGGAAACACCCTTTGTTTTCCTGTGGAGTTTCTTTTGTTCTTTTGCTAACTGAAAATGGAAATGGTGACATCTGCGTAGCAGACTATGGAGGAAGCGCAGTTGTTGTTTTGGATTTCTCCGGGGATCTGCGGTTTAGGTACGATGGAAACATTTCGAATCAGTCTAAGTACACCCAATTCCTGCCGATGCACATTGCTTGCGATGTCAATCATCAAATTTTGATAGGTGATAGCAGAAACAACATTGTTCACATCATCGACTGTGATGGAAACTTTGTCCGTTACATAGAACATCCATGTAACGGAGGACTGAGTGTTGATGCAGATCACAATTTAGTAACTGGTGATAGAAAAAGCGGAAAAATTCAATTCATCAAATATTTAGAGAAAATTTCTTGAGATCAAGGTTACACGAGCAAGCACGTCGAAAATACAGTTTTCATTATTGAAAAACCGCTATTACTTTGTCTACTTTTATACTGCTATTTTAAGTAACCTTTGCAGTTTTCATTCTTTTGATCAGTATAAGTAAAACGTAAATTATTGCAAGATGTAGTAAGCAGTTTTCGAGAATTATGAATAAAAACTGAATTAATATATGACTTATCAAGTTTTCCCAGAATAAGAAAATATATATTTAAATTTTTGCATTGCATGCATGCTCATGTAAATGCATGCATAATGACCATATCAGTCTCAATCTTTATAGGCTTATACATTTAATTCTAAATAAACATCATATGCGTATTTTAAATTTTACATTTGAGGGCAGGTGCAAAATGTGTAAAATATATATGAATTGCGTTTCAATTTTTATATGCGTCAAACACTAGTGTTTTTCTTATCTCCACTCCGCGGATGACCAAATAGCTCACTCTATCTGACCATTTGATATACTGTATATACTGACATGAGCATATCCCACTATCCTTGCCTTGTTACCAGAAGATTTATTGGTGATGGCTCACAGTATCTTTTATTCAGAATTCAAGCCAAATGATTGAGGTTAAAGCATGTCAAAATAAAAGTATTTAAAAAAATAATAAAAAAAAACAACCAAATTTATTCCTCTCTTAACATGTTTTCACGACAACTGTTATATTATATTTGACATACATGATGTTTAAAATTTCAAAGAGTGTCAAAAATGAAATTGCAATTTTTGTTTCAAAGATCACTGCATATAACATCTGTTTTGTTTATTTTTGTTGTTTAAATCCCATACTGTTTGGCTGACAAACAAGGGAGAGAAGTTTAAGCCAATCAAATTGCAGCGCACGTGCATGCGCGTGTTCACATGACAATTGTTATATATCACATTGTAGGACATCCTAAAGTATACCTATGTTTCAAATTTCATAGCATTTCAACAAAAAACAGAAAAGAGATGAATTTTTTGTGCCAACAGTACTGACGCGCACTGTGCGCATCAGTTTATGCGGTTTCAGTATCACATTATCTGCAGTCGAATATATCTTCATATAATGAGTTTCGATCATTTCATCAAAAAATGTAAAATATACTATATTAAGTATAAAACTAACCCATTTCAGTACGTAATTTTGACCTTCTTCAGCACACCTACACTACACACCTATTAACCCTAAAAAGGTTTTTCAGTTGGGTGAAAAATATATACGTTTCAAAGTTGATCACATTCAAAACATATATTTAGTATTTAGACACCATAGGGGTTTGATGAGGATTTTCAACTTAAGTACATAATAATAAAACTAAGTGGAAATATCTCAGTATAAGGATAACATATAACTTGATCTTAAAAATTTTATCAGTTAAGTAATTATATTTCGAGTATCTTAAGTAAATATATTCCAAAAACAATTCAAGAAAGAGAATTAAAATCTGAAAGCAAAAATAGTAGTAATATCTAAAGTATGAATTTAAAATGTTTAAGATATTTATATGAACAAAATAAATGACTTGAGATGTAACAACGTTTACCCAAAATCAGTGTTTTCATCAAATTTTATTCCTGCGCATGAAATGAGTGCGTAATGACCATATAATCTTGTCCTTACAATCTATAGATTTTAATATACTAAATATCAAAGTATTTCTCAATTTTCAAAATTCAGTTATATTTTTCTAAAATCACGTTCTCAGTAATGCCTTTTGCAAAACATTTTATCATTTCATTTTACTTAGAGGAAAATAGGTTTACTATAGAGCTATAAAAATTAAATGAATTATTGTGCATGAATGGGTCTTGTAGAAGTCCATTATATCTTCATATTAACACTTAAATGATGAAAAACTAAATGCTATTTAAAGCATAAGCCAATATATTTGCATTCGTTTTCAAAAAATTGCTATATATCTTATTGTAGGATATCCTAATACATTCTATATAAAATTTCAAAATTTCTCAAAAAAAAGGTGTACGTTTCAGCCAATCAGTGAAGCGCACGTGCATGCGCATTATTATCTTCTAATATATACTTCTAATATGTTTTAAAGCATATCATCAATAATTTAAAAAGCTGTATCAATTATATGCATTTCTCGTGTTGCAGCGCAGTGGCAAAGCGCTTTCATGATATTTCTTTTATTACGGGCCAACCCCTGTGCTATGTTCAAAATTTCAAATGATTTTATCAAAAAACAAGAGAGAGAGAGAGAGTTCAGCCAATCAGATAGCGGTGCTTGCAGCTTTTTCTATTTTGTTTTTATACGACTCATATATCCTTACAAAGTAATGTCAAAATAGAAAAGTTCGGTTATATCTTTATATATTGGCGTCATATTATCAAATGCAATATACCAAAAGATGCACAATCATAAATCAAATTAACATTGAAATTTTCATTTAAGAATGTTTACCCTAAAAAAATGGATTTACTTTTATTAAACCTTTAATAATAATAATAATAATAATAAGAAACAGAGTAAAAACGTCACACCCAAACGAACATAATGAAAGTGAAACATTTTATGAATGAAAAAGACAAACACATTAACTTACCATTTTTGCAAAGCCTAATCGTCAAAAATTTTTAAGAGTCAAAATTTACAATATTTTCTGGTCTTAAGTTGAAAATTAAATGACATCATTGCTATTTTTATCATACACATTGTTGTTTTACCAGAAGATTTATGTGATGGATCAAAGGAAATGTCAGAATTCAAGCCAAATGATTGAGGTTAAAGCATGTCAAAATAAAAATATATAAAAAAAAAAGTAAAAACAAAAAACCCAAATTTATTCCTCTCTTGACATAATCTTGCATGCATTTGACATATATAATTCTTTTTCTAAAGAGTGTGAATGATAAGATATATTCAAAGATCACTGCATATAACATCTGTTTTGTTTATTTTTGTTGTTGAACGTCTCTTGAGAGAATTTTCCACTCATATTGAGACACTAGAAATTGTCAATGGAGGTCTGCAACTTTATACCTATACTTGGTACCCAGAGCAACGAGAGATGATTTTTGTGCCAACACCTACTGCGCCACTGTTCTTCATCAGTTTATGCGGTCTCATCCGAAGGACGTTCAACTGCAGTGTGACGTTGTCAAAATAGTAAAACAGTCAGTACGTAATTTTTAAAGTGAAATGTACAAAAACTTTATAAGATATACGTTTCAAAGTTGATCACATTCATATCATATATTTAGTATTTCGACACCATAGAGGTTTTATGAGGATTTTCAACTTAAGTACATAATAATAAAACTAAGTGGAATTATATCAGTATAAGGATAACATATAACTTGATCTTAAAAATTTTATCAATTAAGTAATTATATTTCAAGTATTTTAAGTAAATATATTCCAAAAACAATTCAAGAAAAAGAATTAAAATCTGAAAGCAAAATTAGTAGTAATATCTAAAGTATGAATTTAAAATGTTTAAAATATTTATATGAACAAAATAAATGACTTAAGATGTAGAACGCTCAAAATCAGTGTACTTATTCCTAAAGGAAAGAGGGCGTATCCATCATAATTGAAACACAAAACGTTTTAATTTTCAAAATTCAGGATTTTTCTAAAATGCCGTGATGTCTTTTTCAAAACATTTTATATATAAGAGGAAAATGGGTTTACTATAGAGCTATAAAAATTAAATGAATTTTGAACATGAATGGGTCAAGTTTCCATGCTTCGTTGACGCTTAAATGATGAAAAACTAAATGCGAAATATATTTCATTCGTCCAAAAAAATTGAATATGAACCCATTCTATATAAAAATCGAAAATTTCTGGAAAAGGTTACGTTGTTTTACGTCTGAGACATTAAAGCAATTTTATGAAAGTTGTGACATTACTTTTGGATCAACCCTCGTATATCTTTAAAACATGCGTGAAAATTAAACTATTAATAAAATATTAAAACAATAAAATACAGAATTAAATGTGAAAAAGATGATATAAACTATATAAATTTGAAAATATAACTTTTTGAATTGAGAAAATGTCTTTTCTCAGAGCGGGGGGTTGTCCTCGTCTTGTACGCCTCCATTCTTGAATTTAAAAGAATATTGAATTAAAACAAATGTAGCCTATTATAACCTTTCTCTGTACAAATATCTTCTGTGATTGCATGTATCTGCTTGTTTTGATCTGAGGACTGAGAATTGCATTACATGCTGTTTAATAACATGTTTCCGTGAGATCAATTTTTTTCTAGGTTTTAAAAAGAAATTGATTTGTGGGAACTTGATGACGAGGTTTGAGAAGTGTTTAAAAAATTTTGCATAAGAAATATCAAAATTTTGTGGTGGTCATAAATTCATCAATTGGTTTCTTAATACCTTAAACACAACGAACCCCCCCCCCCCCCCCGAAAATGAGTGATTTCACAGTATATATGAATCATGAAATAAAGTGATTTTTTTTCACAGTATATTATTTTTGACAAGCAAAAAAAAAAAAATATAAATCATGAAATAACATTTTGAACATGCTGACAACCAGCATAATCATCAGAATTTTTTCCAGTCCCTGGGATTCATGGAAAATTCCAGATTTAATGAATGTACCTTTAATTTCAAACAAATGCTCGATCTTACCTCATGTAAACAAGCATCATGGCTGCTAATCTAAAAACCCAGTCCCATAAATTTCTTGACGAGCAAATAAAAAATTAACGCGCCCAAACGACAAAAATATTTGTATCAGTTATTACCTTCGCTTCAAGTCACTTCCGTTACTACGGTTGTATTATTGCGCGGTAAATTTGAACTTATAAAAAGCAACACAATTTTACATCAAAAGTTGTTTAATTCTTTTGCCTCGGATTATAAATCTTTCACTTTTCATACCCATTTTACACAATCATATTCGCGTTTAGCAGGGTATTCAGCGTTTCCCAAGGGGGGTCTATTGTAACTTTTTTCTTGCTTTAGTATAATATATATTTTTTAACCTTGTAAATTCCAAGGGGCGGGGTCCTGACCCCCCCCCCCCCTAGATCCGCACATGACAAAACTGTCTCCTGTTTCAGTTTGTGTCTTTACCACCTGAATCTTTTACCGTTTCCGTTCCGTTCCTCTCCGTGTTTTAGAAACATCCCTCTTTCATATACAATAAACCGGA